GTTCTCCTCGGTCTGATTGGTCCTTTACGCTGTGGAAATCCCACTGTTGCACTTGTACCAATAAAACTGGACACACACAAGGAGAGCGCGAGGGAAAATGTGAGTTGAGCAATTTTGTCGGGAGGTTTTCAGCTTATCATTGCCGGTTCAAAAGTCAAGGGTGACTCCACGGTTGTGTGGCTCAAAGTTTAACAGCAATCATTAAACAGCAGTGGAGAGGACACCTGAGACCTGGCAGGTCTGAGCAGGACCCCCTGTAACACACACCGGGACAGGCCGCACACACACAACCCGAGCCACCTCCTGTGCCCGCTCCTCTTCTGTGGTCTTCTGTGAATAATTCAGTCCTGACTCCTGAGGACACTGTGGGGGACACCGCACACAAGTCTCCGTTGTAGCCATGGAGCTGCTGGGCCTGCGGGCAGCGATCAGCAAAGGCAACAACAGCACTTCTTCGTGCTAGTTCATGGTCAAGGATCAGTTTATCTATTTAATATTTGGTAAGGTGTAACTGGAATAAAAAAAACAGCAATATGCTGCTTTGTTCATACTGTGAATCTAGTCTGTCTATCACAGATGGACATCTATCACCTGTCTGTCCATCCTGGAAAACAATCCCTCCTCTGTTGCTCTTTCACTTTCCCCCCGTAAATAGTGTTTTGGGATTTTCATACCAGTTTGATTCAACAGATAATGTGAAGTTGTCGTCACTTGAGATTTGGGTAAATGCGCCAATTTGGCGGGATCACGCTCATTATCCATCGTAGAGAAACACATCTATAAGTTAAATTAATAAAATACTATCTCATGCAGTAGCCGATGCTTCAGCCACGTCCAAACGTCCACTTTACTGTTCAGTTTGAGCACAAACAGGACAGAAACTGATTCATCTGCAGTGTGTTATGTCCTGAAAGCTGCTAGCTAGTTTTAGCTCCCGAACCGAGAGCTGAGATCAGGGTTCAGTCATTTTTCAGTCTGTCGCTCCCGCTGACGGGATCTCTAGGCCCGCCACCAGTTAGCTAGAGTCAGCTAAGGTTGTCTATTCTGAATTACCACAGTCGGTAAAGCGAGATCTAAACGATTTAAGCAACTTTTTATCCAAACAAAACAAGAATGTATGTGGGTAAATATAGTGCGTATATCCCAAAATGGCGACCTCTTCCCAACACTCAAGGTGATGTGGCATAGCTTCACATTCACTTGTTGGGAGATGATGTAACATTGTTTGTCCAAACTTCGGTTCGTTCTCTTCCTCTCCATATGCCACAGTGTTGATTAGACAGGTCACAGTTTTCTTAATTAAATAAACATAAAAGCAGAGCATGAGAGAGGACAATCTGTGTTATGATTTATTTATTTCCATGAACAGATCTACAGGGAAGTTGGGATGCAGCTGATTACTAACATAGTTATGGGACAAGCTGTGAGGATGTTAGCAAGCTACTACCGATCTTCCTGCCTCACATTTATCCTCTTATAAGTACATTTTTTACAGCACATGTTAAAAACTGATGTTTAAATGTGTTTTGTCTTAGTCAGATAGAAGTTGATCTGATTTCCAAGCTTATGAAAGCGACAGGATTACTTGATTGACTTTCACCGAATTAGTGTTAATCCGAATACAATGTTTAAATCTTTGTAAAAAATGTGAGATTGTCTGCATCAAACAATTATTGTTATAATCTACAGATTATATTTTCAATGAATCAGTCATTCTTTTAACACAAGATGATTAATGGCCATGTTCAGTTTACAGTGATGAAAAAAACGACTGAACCGATGATCAAAGCACCTGCAGACTGACTTTCTGTGGATTAACTAAAGCATTATTCAACTGCTCCTTTCTGCTCTAGATGAGATATCGAGCAGAGAAATCCCTTGAACCAGATGTTAGAAACTATTTTACATTTTGGGTGCAGGTTAAAGGTCACACAGAGGTCCAAAGGTATCTGCGGAGTGTCCTCTAACAGCCGTGTCTCTGGGCAGCGACGCATTTTCATTAGCAACCAACAGCAATTAGTGTCTCACCGGGCAGAAAAATAAGTTTCTCAGTTTGTTCTTCATCAACAAGCAGTGGTCAGTGCACTGAAACAGCTGTTCACCATCAGTGGTGACCTATCTGTACATATCAAACTACCCCCCCCGCTCAGGCCTGTTAAGGCGATCAGTCTGCTTCATGCCCCCCCCCCGTAAATGAGCTTTGATCTCGTTAGCACAACACAAAGCCTCTTTCCTGCCAACGATAGGACAAATCGGCTCCCCGGCACAGGGAGGGGCAGAGGGTTGGAAACTGTGCTGGCACTGCATCGGAGCGAAAGCACAGGCAGAAAAATGAGAGGAGAGCAAGACACAAAACAGATGTGGAGCGGGAACAAAGTGCAGATGTGAGTGACGTCATGTTGTTGCTGTTTGGGGCACCCTGTGTTTGGTGAGACACCGGTGGGCCCAGCGCACATCACGACCTCCTGCATCAGGAAGTCACAACCCTGTGTCTGTCAGTGTGGCAGCAGGTCAGACTTGTGTTGAAAGTGGCACGTGAACGTTAGTAGGTGCGACCTTCTCAGACTGCCATCGCAACATGACCAGGGTGTTCATTCAGACACGAAGATACATTCATAACAAAGTTTATTAATCCCAAAGGAGGGAAACTTGTTTGGTCACCGTTTACACAACAGTAGGCAACAACAGAACAAACAAACAAAGAAGAAAACAAGAATGATACAAACCCAAAGACACGGTGGAGTTTAATTCAGAAACCGGTGTAGTTGCCCCTCACCCCTCAGTCCATCTGACTATAAGTCAATGATCATCAAATAACACAACAAATCAATGACATGTTCAGAAATGTCACAGCGCTGAGCACAAACGAAGCTCTGAATCATTGTGTGGAGCAGCTTGGCCACTCATCATGTCTTAGATCATTAAAAACATGAAACTGAGGCTGATCCTCACACTGAGTTAGGGTCTGTGCTCGCCAAGGTCTTTTCTCTAGAACAGTTTCCAGTGTAGCTGACGCATTCAGATGCCATCAGATTAACAGAAAGGAGTGCACGTCTGAAAGGGTTGGGACGGTTTGCCTCACTGGCACATGAACCAGGAGTTGATTAACTATGTGGAAATATGCCTGTGGGAGACGTGATGGGGGAGAAGACAGAGCACAGCTATGGGGGAGCTATGGGGGAGCTGGGGGGGGGAGTCAGTAGGAACAACAAAGGGGAGCGGAGGCTGCACTCTCATTTCATCCTCCAGTCCTGATTTACAGTCAGCGGGAGGCTCGGCTAGCTGCTAGCTCCAGCTCTCAGTGGGAGTGCAGTGCTAATGGTTGGGTGCCTTTAGCTACAGAAGCGTGATAGGGGGACTCATCCCCCACGACCCGACCGTGCACGCAGCTGCGGTGAGCAGCTGCCATTCAGCTCCCATCACTGCTGCGCCAGCATTAGCCCTCAAAGTCAATTTCTGTTTTATTTACCCTTTGCATCAAGTGTTCTCCAGCTCCTCATCATCATTCAGAGGCCGTCCTGCTGCTTATCTGGCCCCAGCTCATCACGCCACGCTGCCATCCATCACTCTCCTCTCATCCTCTATCACGGGCCCTGATGGATGCAAACTAATGGCTCTGATTTCCTTTTTGTCTTCTCTCTCCTTGGCTTCATCCTTTATTTCTCCCTACATCTATCAAGCCACTCTCCCTTCTCTGCTACGCTACACCCAAGTATCACCTCCGTCCAAACCTCCACTCTCTCTCTCTCTCCCTCTGCTGCCATCCATCCCTCTGTCTTCGTATATTCACCCACCAATCACTTTCTACCTCCCCATCCATCCATCAACTCACCCACCCATCCCTTCTCTCTGCTTTCCTCCATCCTATTTCTAGTGTGACTCCCCTAGTGCCCGGCGATCAATACAACTAATGGGCAGTGAGAATCCCCCCACACCACATCATCTTTGCCAACGGGCTGTAACCTTTCCCCATCACCAGCACATCCTCTGTGAAGCTCGGCGGGCATCACAGCGTTACCTAGCAGCAGCAGGTCAGCCACACAGCTGATAAAGTGTTTTACCAGTTCCCTGGGATTCAATTCCGACCGCTGACCTCAGACCGTGTCCGCCTGCCCTGCGACTACACTCGGTGCCATTCCCCTGGACAAAAACACCAGATGTCAGCTAACATTTTCCCTTGTGCTGCTGGATGACGGGCACTTCAAGGCAGGTGTGTGTAGGTGTAAGAGTGATGTAGTGCACAGGTCTGCAGGGGGAGAGGTAAAGCGGGGGAGGAGCGGCCATGCCTGGCAGCCCCCTGCTTTACTCCAACATCCCTGGGAACGATGCTGGTGTATCGCTGTCTCAGCAGTGGAGCCATGAAAGCGGGGAAGACCTGTGTTAGGAAGGCCCCCGCTCTGTTCTTTGTCTTTCAGTGTGGTGACCCCTCCCCCATCCCGTCTGCCTCTCTCCTTTCACACCTAATGACAACTGCGGGGGGGCGAGTCATGGCACATGGATGAGGATTTAATAATGCTCACAGGTCTGATTTCATCCACATGAACCGGGAAACGCTGCAGCATAAGACAATGCCCGGTTTGCTCTGAGGGAGACGGGCTGGTGAGCGGTCTGATCTTCACTGTGCTGCTGCCAGTCACAGCAACAGAGCTGGGATCATATTACCTTTGTCTGGCCTGGTCATGCTCCCTCAGTGCGCACTGCTACAGCAAACCTCAGTGCACGATCAGCACACTCCTGTGTAACGCACTAACATCACACTAGTCTGAATTCAAGCATTTAGTGTTTGCTGCACTGACGCATGGTTGTGTTGCTGATGAAAGAAAGGGGGTCTGTCAAAACAAGACCATCGTCCCCTGCTGATGTCTGGGAACAAAAGCTTGTGGTGGAGAAGAAAAGAGGGCAGATGGTACTTTGTTACGGCGCTGCTGTTCACTGAGCTGACACGGACAACGACACAGATGTGACACAGGAGAGTGCGTGTGTTTACACTGCGTTCCTACCTGGCCGATGTCACCGACAACGCTCCTGGTCCCATCTATCCGTGGTCTCTTGCACTCCCCCCCGGCTAGGTCGGTGAGGGCAGCGGCTGTCTGAGCGTCGGGCTCCGGATCTCCTCGCTTCATTCCCCGGACAGCTGCTGCTCCCCCGGCCGCGCTCGCATGGGGTCCGGCTGCTGGGTCCATGTCTCTTTCCAGGTCCATTATCCCCCGACTAACGGGCAGCATGATAGATGCAACGTCGGTCGACATTAACATCGGACGGCAGGCAGTCCCCAGTCAAAAGTCTCGTTGTCTTCTCCTGTGGATTTGTCCACACCTCGACGTTCACAATGAATCTGGCTTTTCCCAAGACGCGCACACGGAGAATATGGAACAGGTTTTAATCAATTTCTGCAGCGTGCACTGTTTATTGTCTAACTTAGCCTTATCCTAGACACACCATCGTGACCCCGCCAGGACCGTGGACAAAGCACGTTAAGTGCAGCGTTTTCCAAAAAGTAAGACGACGCCAAACCGTGACCTATTTTAATGAAGACTCTTGGATGCCTGACAAGCTAATTAGCTAGCTAACATGAGCTAGCCTGCTAGCATTACATTCCGCTAGTTCTCGTTATAAATGTGCCTCCGAGAGCTCGCTCCCGCTGCCAATAATAGAAAATGTTGGAAACGAGCTACACGTAATACTCCTCCTGCGGGGCCGCTCGCTTCCGTTGCCTCCCGCTGAAAAACGACCATTAACCCCTCCGTGGGCGCTACTAGCCTCCCCAGGATTTCAGTCCCTCGTTATCGGACCGTCCGTGCCCTCACCCTGCTCGGCTGTGTGGATGTGTCCGGGCGTGCGCTCCTGGCTCGACACGGTTTCCTCTGGTCTCAGTCCCAGTTGGTGTAACTCGTAGTGACGAGGGAGGGAGCCCGAGTGCGCAGGTCCACGGTCAGATTGTCCACAGACATCGTGCTCAGGAGGAGAGTTGGGCTGGTCTGAGGTCTGCGCTTCCTCTTTTCCTTAAACCGCAGGCAGCAGCTCCACCTCTCCTCTTCCCTCAGTTGTTTAGCTAAATTAAAATAAAGATGCTATTAATCTGGTGCTCTCCACTAAATCACCTATTTATTTGAGAAAACGGCACAATGTAAGAACAATTAAATATGTAATATATATATATATATAGCATGTTACATCCATGACATATATATATATATAGCATGTTACATCCATGCGCAGAAGGCTATAAATGAACTATTTATACGTTGAAGCAGCTGCAGTGTCTGCAGCACAGTCTCATAACAAAATATCTCTGATGTGTCAGTACATACACAACAAGACACCTTCTTCTCCTTCTTCTCTTCATCTATTTGGTCTCATATGTGTTTACGTGTGCTTTTTTAAAGCGTGACTATTTCAACTCCAATAAAAGCCCCGAGCACCCAAAGTGACAAGCACGGAAATAAACCATGAATCAAAGAGCAGCGAGCTGCCACCTGGAGCCTCTCGAGTCGGAATATGTGCAAGGAATGATGTGCAGCACAGCCGCGTTTTAATGCGTGTGCGCCCCCTTGTGGGTTGTTAATGACAGAGCGTCTGCAGGGAAACATTCACGTCTCGGCATAAAGAATTAGCTCTCTCTTGTGAACTTGTTGTCATATAACCCGGACAAAAGGAGCACTAATCAAATATGGCTGCCGTCGCGTGGAAAGGTTTATAGTGGCGGCGCGGCAGTAGCTGAGAGGAGAGGGACACATCAACCTGTCTTACACACACACACACACACACCGCTGCGTGTGCCTCAGGGCACCGCTGCTGTCGCTCTGCCGGTGTGTGAATGAATGTGTGCGACCGCGTGCGTGTGTGTGTGTGTGTGTGCGCATACGAGTCGCTGAGAGTGTAGCGTTGTGTTTGTGCTCATTCTCTCTGTGACTCACACCATCAGCCTCCGTCTCTGTCCTGCTAACTGTCCCTCTGCCACCCTGCGCTGCGCTGATGGACGGCAGCGAAGTGCCATCACCCCGCACGGCCCGCAAAAAGCCATTACTCTCTTAACCCAACCACAGACCTCACAGGAAAGACTGCGAGAAATACACCACGATGTCTGTGGGAACAGCTATACTTAATCACCATAAACGTTATTGCCAAGTATGTTAAAAATACAAGGAATCTGACCCCAGTTCAGTCTCCCCCAGTGTGCACCAAATAAAACAACCATTCATTTCTAAATATGTAAAATATGTACATATATATAAGTTTAATTTGTTATTTTATGTACAGTGGTTATATCTATAAGTTACTGCACTGTGGTGTTTGTTGTAACTTGTTATACATATAAACGTAGGTTAACTGTCCATCAGAGCGACAGCCTGGGGGAAGAAACTGTCCCTGGGTCTGGTTGTCTTAGTGCACAGTGACCTGTAACGCCGTCCAGAGGTGAGGAGTTCAAACAGATTGTGTCCAGGGTATGAGGGGTCTGCAGTGATCCTGTCTGCCCTCCTTTTGACCCGTGAAGTTTACAGGTCCTCCATGGAGGGCAGGCTCACACCAATGATTTTTTCTCCAGTCCTCACTGTCCTCTGCAGTCTGAACTTGTCCTGTTTGGTTGCTGAGCCAAACCAGACAGTGATGAAGGTGCAGAGAACAGACTGGATGATTCCTCTGTAGAACTGGATCAGCAGCTCCTGGGGCAGGTCGAACTTCCTGAGCTGGATCAGGAAGTACATCCTCTGCTGTGCCTTCTTGGTGATGGTCCTGATGTTGGACGTCCACTTCAGGTCCTGGGAGATAGTGGAGCCCAGGAATTACACTGAAGTTTTAATAGTACACCGGTGAACTATCCTGTAGTGCTATTAACACTGAGCGGTTTTCGTTTCCATCTGAACTTTGAACACATCCTGCACACTCACACTTTGTGGTTTGTCACCTCTGGCTTCAGTACTAAGAAATGTCACACAGCCCCCCCCCCAATTCATTTTAGAGCGGAAACACACATACCCCCTGACCCCCAAATTCTTTTTAGAGCGGAAACAATTAATCATAGTGGATGGAAACAGAATATTATCATTTAGGCAAATCTTCTCCAATCTCTGCTTCTCAGGTTTGCTGCTTTATTTATTTAATATCTTTGGATTTTAGATGAAAGATCGTGTTTCCCGTTTAGAGAACTCGATTAATGGAGAGAATACTCACTGGATCAGTCAGTAACAATAATAAGTGTCAGCCTCAGTTCTGAACCATGTCCCTGTCAGCGGTGGAACAAGTACTCTGACTTTTTACTTAAGTAGGAGTAGCAATACCACAGTGTACAAATACTCTGTTACGATTAAAGGTCCAGCATTTAAATGGTTACTCAAGTAAAAGTACAAAACTATTAGCATAAAATATACTTAAAGGACTAAAAGTACTCATTATAGAGAATGGCACCATTCACATTAGTGTGCATCATATTACTGGACAATAGGTGTGTACTGTATCCTGGGTAGCTGGTGATCTTCAATATCATGTAATCTGTTTAATTAATCTCAGTCTGAAAAGTAAGTAAGTAACTACATTTATCAAACAAATGTAGTGAGTAAAAAAGCAGAATATTTTTCTGTAAAAAGTAGCGAAGCAGCAGAAAATGAAAATACCCAAGTACAGATACCTTTGTACTTAAGCACTTGAGTAGTGTTTAGCAGATTTCAAAGACAAGATAAGTGTTTACATGAGGTTTTACAGCCTGCACATGGTGTTGCGGTGGTGCCTATGTGTGTTAACACTGAGTTCTGTGAAAACCGACACACAACACCACATTCATCGACCTGAGAGGCTGAGTGGTTATTACAGGTGTTGGTCTTTGGTTCTTCTTACCATGCTAACTCTGAGAGACGAGACAGTCCAAGTAACTTCAAAACAGTGCTGATTTAATCAAAGGATCACAGGTAAAATTAACATTACACGCTCAGGTATCTTGCACCTCCAAACTGCTCACAGGCAGCTGAAAGATGAAAGACCCTGAACCCACCAGGCCTATACGTTATATCCCTTCGGGCTAGCCCCATACTACAGAGAGAGACGCCAAACCATGACGTCTCTGTTACCAGCTTTGCAGCTGGTCATAGCAGTAGTCAAAACATGAAGCAAATCAATGTGTGTGTGTCTGTTGATTTAGTGGTGTGTAGCTAAAAACATTCTCACGACCTCTAGTAACATGTCGTGACTTAAACATAAGAACATATTATGGCTAAGGCTACAGTTCTACACGTCATAATAATAATATTAAACATCCTGTCTGCTGACAGTCATCAACTCTTCTCTCTAGTTATCCTTGACCAGATGTACCCTGTAGAAACTCATAAGCATGACTAAGCATTTAACAGTCTAACCAGACATCCTATCTCCACTAAACATTTCTAATAATACATAAAGTATCTATCCAATTTCTATCTGACTAAAAATACCTAACACAGGAAAACGAAATAAAAAAATCTGTTTCACTAAATACCCATTTTATAATCGATGTTTTGTGTGTTTCTCTCTGGCTGTTACTGATAGTTGATAATGAAGATACAGGGAGTTAATATGGGGTCGAGAGAGAGGATGTTTGAGAGTGCACGACAACTGCGCCAACCAGTTTTACACACGCAGAGGACTCCGTAGCTGTAGTCTGCAGCACATGGACAGATTACTGACCTGGACGATAGGTGCTACTTCATGTCAGTCACTCCTCTCAGCCAATGAGAGCACTAAGAAAGTCCGAAGGGGCGGGGCAAGACGCACATAAACGCTGGAAAACGGAACGCATCCGCACTGGGGATTTGGATCTGTGGTTGGTTTGTAGTTTCCGTCCACAGGAGCAGAACAGCAGCACTGTACAAACAGGTATTTCTTTCCTTTGTGCTCATTTTCCCCTCGAATCTATAATGTCTTCAAACGACACACCGTTAAACGTTGGCCCGTAGGAAAAAAACGGAATTTACTGCTAGAATACCGAGTAATCATAAAGGTTACGTTATAATATGTTTGTGTGTATTTAAATATACGTATCTTGTGCCAGAAACAACGAGGTACTTGGTTCCTACAGCTTGCAGACTTGACCGACGCGCAGCCCAACACAGCGCAGCTCACCATGGCTCTGGATGGATGTGGCGCCTTCTGCAAATGTATCCTCATCTTTTTCAACGTCATCTTCGCGGTAAGTTTATATTTCTGCGTAGTTTTTTAAATAAAGAAAAACGTCCGATTTGACCCGTGTTCCTGTCCCTGTGTGCGCTGTTTACCAGCTGTTTACCAGCTGTTGCACTGTGATTCAGTGGATTGTAGTCCTTTGAGCCACGGTCGGTCTCATTCTGCGCTTTGCATAAAGTCCCCATGGCTGCAAACGTTTTGCTCGTTTCCAGCCATTTAATGTTTAGTCTGGGTACCTCTAGATTAGTTTGGCACCCCTTATAACTCCAAGTAGTCTGTAATTATTTCAGAATGTTAACACCAGAGAGCCTGTTCCTGAAAACGAGAGGATAGTTCGTGAACGAGCACAACTCCTGTTGCCAGTGTTGTATCAAAAGTCGACAGCACAAGGAACCGCAACAGCATTAATTAATGTGAATGTCTCCTCCACAAATAGGTAAACAACGGTATATGTACCAATGAAAACAGATGTGCACTGTAACAAATTGCTGTTAAAAAAAGGCCAAATTCCAACAGTAACATACTGTTTTCCATTAAAACGGTACTATACTGCTGACAACAATGACTTCTGGGAAATATTTAAGGGCAGCCCGCCCTTTCCCATAAAATACTGCAATATACTGTAAATAGCGTTGCATTTTGGGAGTGATGTTAGAATCAACAGTAGAAAGGTGGCGCAAATACGGAAAGTCACTGTATTTCTCAAGGTTGCATGATTGGAGCCAATTTTCATTTGGAGGATTTCACATTTGAGTCCTACATTTTTGCAGCAAATCCCAGGGTAAGGTGAATTACATTCCCTCTGTCTGCTGATGTTTTCTTACTAACGTCATATTAGCTAGCTACCAAATAAACTGCAACTGATCGGTAACGTTAGCTAACAGCTAAGCTAGCTTGACGCACACACTATGCTGTGACCAGCAAGTAACTCGCAGGACATTTACATTTTCATTATTGTTTTTGTAGGTACGCCTGATTAATGTTACTGAATATTTAAAATACATTAGTCTTATGGTTTCTTTGTTCAGCTAGAAGTATTATTGTGCTTCTATTTTGGGGATTTCAGAATTTCTCCTGTCTCTCCTGGATCCACAAGAACATTTATTTTATTTTTCTACATTTTTTATATTCATGTTGATATTGACACTGCTCTTTGAAATAAAGATATTTGATTTTGAAGTTTTTATTGCTTATTTTGCATAATATTCACAATAATGCATATAGCCCTGAGAAATAACGGTATAATGCTGGCGTCCCTGCTGCCAGCTCTTTACCGTAAATTATAGAAATACAGACGTATACCGTTTTTCTGGTTTACAGACTACTACCGTAAAGTCATTTTACGTACGAATACCGTAAAAATAACGGTATACTGCTGGCGTCCCTGGTGCCAGCTCTTTACTGTTATTTTACAGGAAAACTGTTTACAGTGTGCGAACACATCATTTTTTTTATCCTCAGGTGTGAATGCGTGTTCTTTTATTTTGAAAAGAGAAGACTAATATAAGGATATTTCACAGTGTGAAATTTATTATGCATTAACGTATCAAAATTATCATGTGCACATGGATCTTCACTGTTTAGGAAAAACAGAAAAGACTGTCCTCAACTTGTCGGTAACAATATTTGTATGAAAAGGTGCTACTATCTAATTGGTCAAAAACTGTTGGGGAGAAGCTGTGGTTTAGACTTAACTCTCCCGTTATTGGTCCTTCAGTCCGTCCGTCCTCCATGGTCCTTCCTGCTCCAGTCATTGAGGACAGTGCCCTAGTAAAGGGAAGAATACCTGTAATGCCTTAATTCCTACATACACACTCACCTCTTCCTTTGTTTCCAACTCACTGCTCCTATTAGGGATTGCTCTCTGTCACTAATTAAAACAGTTCTGCCTGTGTGTGTGTAAGTGAATAATGTTCCTACCTTTGAAGCTTTCTCCTCCGCAAGCCTCCAGATCTAATCTCTGTTTCACTAACCTTGGAGTCCCAGTGAACCAAACTCCCCTGGCTTCAAGGCTCGGTGGTGATAATAATTTCACTGTGGACTCCCTTAGCTAGAGCTGTAAATCTAATCAGATTCAGTGATTTAGTGGACAAGACACTATAATGTTGAACAGTTCCCCAGTGACTAATACAGTAAATATTAACCAGTGGTTCAGTGAACACATAGGGTGATATGTAACTATGTAAACATAACTGTGACATATAAGTATGTAAACTTATTTGTGATATAAAATAAAACCATTCATAAGTGTGTAAAATAAAAATCTCCCTAACACAGGTTGCGTCTAAGATGAGAATTCAACATTGTAACATTGTAGATAAGTCAGAAAACGAGGAAAAGCACCATGGACTCTTTAAGGGGTTTCCTTGTGTAGCAGGCGGCATCAGCAACACGCAACCTGCTGTTTAGGTCCTGTGCAATGCGGAAATCTTGGTTCTCCAAAATTCCACAACTGACTTCAGAAGATTCCAGATGTGGCTGCTGTGTTCTCACACTGTAGTTGTTGTTTCCTGTTTGGCAGCTGGTGGGGTTTGCCTGTCTGGGCCTGGGCCTGTGGCTGAGGTTCAGCGACAACACCAGAGTCATCTTTACAATACATGACTTCGACTCAAGCACATTTGTTGTGGGTGAGTTTGCGTTCTGCACAGATTTGTGTCATGTCTTTAAAAAAGCATGAGGATACTTTTATGTTTCAGACTCATAATCAGTCACAGATGTGTCTTTCTGCATTAGGTGTGACACTTCTGATCGTACTCGGGTGTGTGATGCTGTTTGTGGTGATGGTTGGAGGTTATGTCGCCTGCAGTGAGGAAAGATGTGCTCTGATAGTGGTAAGACTTTTTTTACTTTGTCTTGAAGTGGGGTTCCACCTGAGCATTTCCTGTTGTGTTCTCTGTGTTGAACAGCCGTCAAATCCTTCAGTGAACAAAGCTGAAGAGCCGATAAAAGAAACAGATGATGATCAGTTTTGTTCTTCACGTTAGCAAAATAATACAAACAACAAATGTAACAAACTACCCCCTGTTTTAGGATCAGTTTGACATGATCAGTAGGTGGACGGTGCACCAGCGCTCTGTTACAAAAATTCATTCATTCATTCATTCATTCATTCATTTTCTACCGCTTATTCCCTGAACGGGGTCACGGGGGGGGGGCCGGAGCGGGAGCCAATCCCGGCCAGCATTCGGGCGAAGGCGGGGTACACCCTGGACAGGTCGCCAATCCATCGCAGGGCCAACACAAAAATCATATTTAAAATAAAGAACCAAGAAAACTAAAGAACTCACAGGTGTTGAATAAGGTACAAAGTCACACCTGCAGTGTCACAGAGACACTGAAGACACAGAGTCTGAAGTGCAACTAAAACCACTGATGTGCCTCATTTTGTTCCATTCCTGATTCCACACCTCATCCAGTAGGACTCTGCATAACTGTATTAAATTTGTGTGTGTGAGGTTCCTAAGGTTCAGCTGCTGTGGTTTCTGAGGACAAAGGCTGAAACTAATACAAAGAAGTCGTCATTCTTACAGGGAATGAAGAGACAGTGTCTCAAACCACCACATGTTCAGTCTCATTCTTCACTATAATCACTCAAACTTCACTTCCTGAAACCTGCACACACACCTTTCTCCAGATTTTTTGCCCCAAATTATCCCAGTGTCCCGCAATCCTGGCAGGATGTGAGGGAGGAAAGGAGGTCTCTTCAGTTATTTGTAGCCTCTGTTGAGGCAAAGCTCTGTGAATCTTTGGGATTCTGCAAAACATAGGCTTCAGAAACTGTCGGATGAGAATTAAAATATGTTTCAAAATCAAATATGCTGAGTTTTGTCAGTGTACGTGAATCACCGCCAAAGACTTTCACTTCCTTTCCCCTGATTTCCTGTGTAATAGTGCTTTCCAGTGTTATCCCCCAGTTTATCTCAGTGGGAGAGTTCAGAGACATTCCTTAACTGTTACACAGCACGGAGGCAGAACACTGGCCAGGCATGTGTGCTGAACAGAAAAGGAAAACGGCAAAGGAGTGCACAGCAAAAAAGAACAACAGTGAGTTTGGTTTCTGCAGTGTGTCGAGGTGGTTACCTGGCAGAAGATTCAGACCAGACTTAAAAGTGCTGACCCCTTTATGGATTGAACAACACACAGCACAGAGAAAGTCCCCTCCTCCTCCTTCCCCTCCACTTTTACATGTTCGTCGCTGACTTTCACTCCTTCCTGTAATAGCGTACCTTCAGTTTCACAGTCTGCAGGTGTAGCTACTCTGTCTCTGTTTTCCCCACATAATTAGCATGATTCATAACTCTCTCTGTTTCCAGTTCTTCCTCAAAGGAAGGGAAGCATAATGAAAATAATTTGACACAGTGTATAATCTCTGACCTTGACATAGTATCTCTTTCTCCTGAGCTTCATCTTGTGGGGAAACAAACTGCCCCTGCCTTAACTAACTTGGAACATTTGCTTGTTTCTCATTAGTTTAGAAAAGTACACAGACAACCGGTCGACATGGCGAGACAGCGCTGACATAATGCATCAAATCTGAACATCAGTGACTGAATCAGTTACATAAACATTGTATGAATGTAATGCCGTCTGTCACTGTGACACAAAATGGAGACGTTCCCCGGTGCGGTCGTTGTATCAGCCTGAACATGTCAGAGGATCCATGAGTCATTAGTTTTTGGCAGGAGAACAACTGCAAATCAGAAAAAGGTGGGATGGTATGTAAAATCAAAACTGAAAATTTCACAACACTTAGAAGACGTTTAGGGACCGAGGACACCAAGCGATTGTGTCAGGTGTCATTTTGTCCCGTTCTTCCTGCAAACAAATCTTAAGGTGCAACAGTCCTGGGACTTCATTGACACAATCTGCGCCACACATTCTCTACTGGGGACAGGTGGGGACTGCAGACAGGCCGGTCCAGTACTCGTCCCCTTGTCCTCTACAGCCAGGCCTTGGTAATGTGGCACTCTGAGGTTTGCATTGTCTTGTTGACATATACATGGGCGTCCCTGGAAAAGACGTCATCTTGAAGGCAGCACATGTTGCTCCAACATCTCTCTGTATTGTTCATCATTAATGGAGCCATCACAGAAGTGTAAGTGACCTTTGCCCTGGGCACTGACACGACCCCAGACCATGACTGACCCTGGACTTGTTGCTGGTAACAGTCTGGATGGTCCTTTACTTCTTTGGTCTGGAGCATACGGCGTCCATTCCACAATACATGTTTTCACCTTGTGATGGTCCATCCCAGATGCGTCCGAGCCCAGAACAGTTGACTGCGCTGCTGGACAGTGTTGACATAGAGCTTCCTTTTGGCATAGTAGAGTTTTAAGCGGCATTTATGGATATAACTATGTATTGTAGTGTCTGACACAGGTGTGCCAAAGTAATCCTGAGCCCATGTGGTTATATCGCTTATAGAAGAGTGACGATTCTTGTTAGGAATGCTCGAACACAAAATGAGTGAGCGAAATATGTAACAAACCCAGGTAGCTGACTTCGGTGCAAGCAGTGAGGTTTATTTACAGTGCAAGAATAGTGAAATATATATATCTATATCCGTATATATATATATAGATATATATATATACGGTATACAGGAGGAATGTGGTACGAGATGACCGGGTGTCGATCAGCGGCAGCAGAAACACAGTGAGGAGATGGATGATGATGGACCGGGCTGCGAATGGAGGGATCACTCCCGTGCTGGTCGAGGTGAGGCGATGATGGCTGAGAACACAGAAGTATGGAAACAACAGGTTAAATGGGGACTGTGCATCGACCTGTGAGGCGGTGGCTGGTAGAGCTGAGTGAATCCAGGGTCCAGAGGAGAGGTCCGGAGAGGAGGAAAAACAGATACGGCGGGGCAGGAATAGAGACTCGAGAAAAACACAGAAAATATAGCAGGCGTACTTGGCACAAAAACAAAGCGATAACACATATGGGGCCTAAAGACAGAGAAAGAACTGGCAGGGGAGTGAATAGTGAGCAGTGTATAAGTAAGGAGGGAAACTAACGAGGCGCAGCTGGTGAGTGATCAGGGAAGCGGGGCAGGTGTGTTGAATAGTGCAATCAGTGCAAGGGAGCAGACCAGCGTGAGGAAAGGAAGAGAGGCAGGTGCCACCGGGCAAACCTGACAAAGGATGGTGGTGAGTTTCTCTGTCACCGCTACCCAGAGGGAGTAAACAGGTTGACAGGTCCAAGTAGTGTGGAAGTAATCATCCGTGATGTGAGTCTTATATTGTATAAGCTGTAAGTTTATATTGGTAGTCATGGAAAAGATATTATTACAGATCTTGGTCCAGAAGTCGAGGCTAGGGGGAGTGCACACACACACACACACACACACACACAATATATGTATGAATGAGTGTTCTAGTTTTTATGAACAGTCTAAAAGTGCCACTCCACATTTCCCTTCTTCAGAATAGTGATGGTAGATCAAGCAAACGCACTTCGAATATAACATCACGAAAAAAAAAGTCCTCCTCCCATTCTGCATGGAATGTTTTCGGTTTCTTACTTGATTCAGCCCCCCCACTCATTTTATACCCTTTAGTAGAAATTAATTGGAAGCAGCCTTCCAGCACAAGGTAGTTCGCTCACTGGAGTTTTGCAGTAGCTCGTGCTGTTGACTGTGCATGTTTGGTGACTTGTGTGTCAAAAGACAAGATCTCAGACTGGCTGCCCTGCATGTCAATCAAGTAGCAAATGGATGATAGGCTATATATGAATGACTGTCACTTTCTGCTTTTCCTGTTAGGGGTCGCCACAGCGAATCGTCACACTGACCATTCGCATGTTAACATTTGGCACGTGCTTTACGCCGGATACACCTAATTTATTTTTGAATGGCACACGATCTACCAACACTACCTTTGTGATTGACGTATTGGACACCCCTGATCTAAACACAGCTGCAGTGGGAGAATGTGTCAGCATCCAGCTTTTTAAAACCAGAGAACAAGAGCTTCTCATTAAGCTAATTTCCAACAATTCTTCACTAAGATAATTTCTAAAAGCTACCAGGGTTGGATTTTTCCCTTTTGTGTCTTATTTCTCTTTCTGTGGCTGCATGCAGACCGATAGCAGGGGGCTGCCAGGTGCAGTCTCTCTCTCTCTAACTCGTTCGGTGGCTGGTTTAATCCTGGTAGCCATGAGGACGCAGGTTGTTCACTGCACAGCTTTGTCCCATCCCCACCCTTCACTGCCCCTCCTCCTTCTGTGTGACAGATTACTGCCCTGGTCTGCTCCATCGTCCTCCTGCAACAGATCAAGAAAGTCAATCAGACGATCTCTTCATACTATTCCACCGTGTACTAAGAAGATGCCGTTTTCAGCCTCACCAACGAAGATCATCTCTGGGATTCAGGCTCAACCAACGAATCTGTGTTTAAAGATGTTCCTCTGTATGTGAACTGTTAACTTTTGTTCAAATGTGTTTTTTATATTCTAAAACATACTGTGTGAGTTATTGAGCTATTGTGAGAGTTGCCTAGAAGGCGTCTGTTCCAGTTCTTAGAAAGCTGTTTTAGTACTAGTCATTCACTGAGCCACTGTTTGTGTTAAAATGTTTGTACAAATAGAAAAGGGAAGGCTTTCTTTAACATCCGTTTAAACATTTCATAAGCTTTTATTCCAAGTTTAGTCAAACTTGAGGAGGCAGCTCGTCACATTTTATAGTGGCCTTCGTCATCATCACCACCACCACTCTGCCCTTCACATCAGCTCAGTGCAGCGACTGGACACCTGCTTTGTTACTGCTCATTTTTCTTTTCTTTACCATAGTTTTGTGAAAACCACATTCCACTTCATGTCCTGTGCTGATGATGTGTGTTCAGAGGGGCCCAGGACATCAAGTCAAGGACTTTGTCACAGAAATATTCTGCAGGTTCTGTTTGAGGCTGTCGAACCTGCTGCATCAGCATTTTAAATGGCATGTGTCAGAGCTGTGCAGCATTAGGTGAACGGTGATGTCATATTGAGAAGAAGTCCCTGCTGCCATGCCATTAAAACCCGTTGTAGTGAAGCCGACCCCCTCGGGGCGCTGTTCTTTTTACAGCTTCTGTGACCAAATGAAAGTGTATTAAGTGCCTTGTTTATGTTTACGCTTTGAACTGCTTGTGTATTTTCCTTCTCTGTACTACTAAATGCTGCATTGCACTGTTTTTCACAATGGAAGAAATAAATATTATAGAAGGGTTTCTCTGGCATAAAAAGACAAACAAGTGCAGTTTTGTAAGCGTCTTTATTTCATTGCTCACACGTCACTGTTGGGACCTGTGAGGAAAAAGGGAGTTAATGTAGTGATGACGCCTCCTCACGACCGACACCGAGGCCAAAGGCAGAACGGGGAGGAAAAACATGCATGACCCAATATGACAACACCCAATCTGGTGCGGTCACGTGTTAAACAGTTCATTTGTTCATCATGCGAATGTTAGGGTGATTTTCATTTTTAGATAGAAATGAATATAATTAGTTAGGGTTTTATTATATAGCATACATAAGTTTATATATTTTACTCTTACAGTTGTGTTTATGTTTATGTAGTTACATATCACCTTAAGTCTGCATTGAATCACTGGTCAGTATTTTCTGTGTAAGCTAATTAGAGTACTGTTTAACATCAAGGAGACTGGTTCACCAAAACACTGAAAACTCATTAGATTTACAGCCTAGCAAAGAGGGTCCACAATTACTTTATTACCACACCACTTGGCTGATGGAATGGGGGAGCTGGAGTTTATTGGGGTCTTAGGAGAGCAGGAACAGAGATTAGATCTAAAGCCAGGAAGAGAGACCAACTTCAAAAGACAGGGTAATATACACTCACACAGGCAGAGAAGTTTTATTGCTAAAGGGGGGTTAGTGCCAAAAGTCTCTT